CGCCTGACGAGTCTTCAAGGCCATGGTTCCGGCAACGGCACTAAAGACAAAAAAACGGGGCAGTATAGAGGTTGCGCCCACGAGGACTGCAATCTACGATTTAGTATGAGATATTATAAAATCCCTGTGTTTCTTCATAACCTTAAAACTATGATGCCCACTTAATCATCAACAAGGCTCACGAACTGAACAAAAATTCTAAAATAGAATGTATCGCTCAGAACAGCGAAAAGTTTATAACCTTTGGTTTTAAAAATCTTTGTTTCAAGGACAGTTTAGCTTCTTATCGTCTTCGTTGGATAAGTTGGTGAAGTTGAGTAAATATGAGGATGATAAAAGGCGTGAGAATTGGAAGAACAATTTCAGATACAGCGTTAGAAACCCGTATGTTAAAACCGATGAAGACTTGGAATTTATTGACCGATAATAAGGGTATTTATCCTTATGACTACTTTGATGACTTTGAAAGATTTAAGGAAAGGGCTTTACCACCGAAAGAAGCGTTTTACAGTAAATTGAGTGAAGGCGTCAGCCACGAAGGCGCAATCTTGAAGCCGAAAGGCGAAGTGTCGCAGAGATCGTTGAGCGGAAACAAAGCCGGAACCTTTACAAATCGAGTGCCTGAATTGCGCCCCCTTACCCGTAATCAGTGGATGATGGGTTTTGAGATCACGTGCTACGAAAATGGCCGTCTTAAAGAGGATACAGTTGCAGGTAGGGGGCACAAACCCAGCGATTGATTGAAACCGGCCTGGACTCCCTGTGGTCGCTGACCTCCTGTGTCTATCTGTTTCACAGGTGTTCAAAAAGTCCGGGACTTTGACCAACCAAACTCTCACCACACATCGGGCCTCTCGTTCGTGGTGCGACCGGCACAAACTCACAAATGGTTGTGACTGGACTGCTGGCATTTGATGCGAACAAGCCAAGTTGGCTGTAACCACTATGTGAGCCACCATCACAATCCAACAACATGAGGTTCCCCGAAACTTATACGGGATACTTAATGAGATTCCTGGTGTACGTTGGACATTGGTGAGCCCCCTTGTGTCCTTCCCTTTCCAACCCAAAAAACCCACCCAAACCGCGAAACGCCGGCGCTGTTGGGCCTGTTTGACTGGTGTTGAGAGTTTCCTCACTGCGGCAATCCCAGTTGAAGATCTTGCTAAATCCTGAGCAAACACCGGCTGATGCAGGGGTGCGATCTCAACCATCTGACAGTTTGGCCAGGAAACTGGCAACTACCACGAGCTTCCACCAACCGTGCCCTGTACAGGAAATCCCGACCAGCAAGGGGTGTGGGCCTCTTCAACAATCTGTCTGGCTGCACCAAACAGTCTTGCGTGTTGAAACGGACTGGCTGAGCGGTCTCTTCTTCTTCGCCTTCTTTTTCTTGCTTTCCGTCGCGTTTGCCACTTCTGTCTGTCTGTCTTTATGCCTCGCTACTAGTGCTCCCTTACGATTCTCTTGTCTCTTCGACAGCCATTGCTGCTGTTGCCTCGAGAAACTAACACTGCTATGCGCCTGCAATTTCAATCGCCCGCCAAGGTGTAGATGTCAAGGGAGGAAGTCCTGCAGCCATAACACCAAGTGCCTTGCCAGTGCCGCTTGGGCAGTTGTCGAAACTAGAGCCCCCCCCATATCCTGCTTACAAAGGGAAATCAACTGAGCGGCAAAAACAAATGAGAGCCCCCCATAAACTTGACCTCCAAGCGCGGGTGGCTTCCAGTCTGAAAAAGTACTAGCCCACAAAGAGCGGTATCATGCAACGAGGTTATGAGGGTTGCAAACGTCTAGGCTCCTCTACAGGTCCAAACATGGTCCGACCTGTCCATTCTGGGGGGGGGGGGGCACTTGAAGGCCTGTCAGCTTGCTATTAATCTTGCACATGCTCCAGGTGGCAGTCACCAGCAAGGCAGCTGTCCTCCCTTGGACAAAACTCACGTACGACCTGAGAAGGAAGCGTCGGACAAGAAAATGCAAACTTCCAGCCTCCATTTGCACATGACAGCGGTGCTTCTGGCGAAGCAGTCAAGCCTTCTACTGGCCCGAGCCTTGCGCAACTTGAGTTCAGAACAAACTCCGGGCCGTGCTGAGAGACGAAGAACGCGGACTTCCGTGTTCTGCCCTAGCAGCGGGCACGGGGCATGCGTTCTAGTCCAGCTGCACCCAGCCTCACAAGATTGTGCTTGGGCGGCTGCATTTCTGCGTCCTCTTTGGCCCGGGACATGTAGGCCTGGTCCTCTGGCCGCACCTCTGGCCCCTCCCGAAACGGCAAGGACTGAGAGGAACAACAACACGCAGCTGAGCTCCAAGTAAGATGAAGGAGAGATTACGGCGTTTGTTTGTGCCGTGTTTACATCCGGACTGGTGCGCAAGCAAGAATCTCCCCGCGTAGCTCTCTGGTACGCTGGGGCAACTGCAAAGAAGGCGCGCTGAAGCATCACGGGTCACAGCTGCGTCTGCCTCGCCGGCCGCAGCTTGGGCGCTCAAGCGGCGCAAATCTGTCAACACCAATGGGTGCTTCCTAGAATTAGGGTCCCCGCAGTTAGGGATTCCCCTTTCAACCCCAAGCGATGGCGTCCCCTGTTGGTTTCCGAGCAAAAAACACTAGTTCAATTGGTGACCCAGCTTTAAAACCATGTGACGCTTGCGGAGGGGCGACTGCGACGGCGGGAGGGACCATCTGTAAGGCCGACCACCCCGGTCGCTCCGTCCATCCATCCATCCATCCATCCATCCATCCATCCAAAACCATTTGCAAATCAGCAGGGCCCGCTCAAACCTCAAAAGTGCGCAAGCTCCAGATCCGGTAGGGAAAATGGCTGCAGGCGACATTGGGCACCCCAAGCAAGGCCGCGGTGAACATGTTGAGCAGGGCAAGGACTTGCGCTGTCCAAATGCTCAACAATCTAACACGAACCCTCTTGCGTGACGGCATGGAGGGAAAAAGACATGTCCGCCAACATGACAATGGTTGAATGAAAGCGAATGCTTCGTGCAAGGCAGCCGGCTTTCAAAGGATCTGTGAACTCCACGCTCACCTGCTTCCCATCACCCCCAGCTTGGGGGTCCTCCTCAGCTTGGCTGAGCCATTGCGGCTGTCGCGCACACAAGAACGCTCATGCTTCTGGATGGGGCTGGAGGCGCGAGCCATGTGATTCTACAGCTCCTAGAACCTTTTCGATGTCGGCGGCCTGAGCCGGAGGCTTTAAAGTCCGGCCTCGCCGTGCTATTCGCCCAAAGGGGCGCATGCCTAAGGCTTTGCCTTCCGGATTGACGGGTTTAGCCGCCGACATTGGAGATGCAGACGATGCGTGGTGCCTTTGGTGCATCATCACCACCCGCGCGGCCATTGGAGCTCCAGTTGGTGAGAGGCTGAAACCGGCTCAAAACACTGTAAATATGCAGCGCGCCGGCTGCATTGCCAGCATCGCTTGTGTCCTCGGCAGGCCCTGTGCGGAACGCATCGCATGCATCCCCTGCATCGTTTGGTTTTGGGGCCAGCTTGCCCCAAGCCAATCGTGATGCTGCGCGCGCGCGCCCGCCGCACTCTCGTGCGCGCCGCGCTCTTGTTGTTGTTGTTGTTGTTGTTGTTGTTGTTGTTGTTGTTGTTGTTGTTGTTGTTGTTGTTGTTGTTGTTGTTGTTGTTGTTGTTGTTGTTGTTGTTGTTGTTGTTGTTGTTGTTGTTGTTGTTGTTGTTGTTGTTGTTGTTGTTGTTGTTGTTGTTGTTGTTGTTGTTGTTGTTGTTGTTGTTGTTGTTGTTGTTGTTGTTGTTGTTGTTGTTGTTGTTGTTGTTGTTGTTGTTGTTGTTGTTGTTGTTGTTGTTGTTGTTGTTGTTGTTGTTGTTGTTGTTGTTGTTGTTGTTGTTGTTGTTCTTTTTCTTGTTGTTGTTGTTGTTGTGGTGGTGGTGGTGGTGGTGGTGGTGGGTGGTGGGTGGTGGGTCATGGTGGTGGTGGTGGGTGATGGTGGTGGTGGGTGATGGTGCTGGTGGGTGATGGTGCTGGTGGGTGATGGTGGTGTTGGGCGTCGAGTGTTGGGTGGTTGGGTGTTGTCTATGCATCTATCCATCCATCCGTCCATCCATCTATCCATCCATCCCATCCATCCATCCACCCATCCATCCACCCGCCCCATCCATCCATCCATCCATCCAACCCATCCATCCCATCCATCCGATCCATCCCATCCATCCCATCCCAACCCATCCCATCCACCCATCCATCCCATCCATCCATCCCATCCACCCCTCCCTCCCTCCCTCCCTCCATCCATCCATCCCATCCCATCCCATCCATCTCATCCATCCTGTCCATCCCGTCCCATCCATCCCATCCCATCCCATCCCATCCCATCCCATCCCATCCCACCCCACCCACCCACCCACCCACCCACCCACCCACCCACCCACCCACCCACCCCCCATCCATCCATCCATCCATCCATCCATCCATCCATCCATCCATCCATCCATCCATCCATCCATCCATCCATCCATCCATCCATCCATCCATCCATCTCATGCATCATGAGCCCGTCCCGCGAGGCCGGGGCGCGGAGCGTGAAAGTTAATGAGGTTGTTTGGTAGCATTGGGCGTAAGTAGCGTGGGTCTTGGGTTGGTTTAAGCTTGGTTTGGGCTTGGCCTCGGCTTGATTTTGGTGCTGGCTAAGGGTTGGTGTTGGGCGGATTGTCGTCAGAAGCTGCTTCAGCAGTGCTTAGTTTTGCTTTGGGGCTTTTGTTTTGGCCGGTTGTAAGAATTGGTAAGGTTTGGTTCAAGGTTGGTTTTGGGCTGGTTTCGGAGCATTGCCCCAAACTACCAACTAGCACTAAACCAGCCCCAGTAATTGACAGCCCTGAAGCAACCCGAGCCAAAGAGGCCCCAAACCCGACACCGGTCCCAAGCAACCTAACAAGCCCCAAAATCTGCCGACCAACCAACCAACCAACTCCTCTTTCTTCCTTCCTTCCTTCCTTCCTTCCTTCCTCCCTTCCGTGCTCCGCTCCTTGGTTTGTTGGATCCCTG